AGCTCTTGCCTTTAAGGTAACTAGTTTTAACACCCCAGATAACAAACTAAAATCAGTGCACCCCGGGTATAGAGGCTTCTCTGCGTCAGTGCACAAGTTATCATACACATGTGCTCGTTCAAAAGCCTCTTCCCCAACATCACGGATCATGTCCTCTAATCGATCTTCATTCATTTCTACTTCATCATCAAGATTATCAACTCCCACACATTGAGATGTGTTACTATAATTTTCCAATCGTTCACCATGCCAAATCCATATTGTATAATTTTTGCAAATCCCATCACAAACTAAGTGCTCTCTTATTTCGGGAACACCTAGTCTCCTCTCATTCAAACAATTAACACAAGGACAATAGAACCTTTCACTATTGTCAACAGCATTTTTCTTAGCAAATTCCAAAATTCTTTCACCCCATTATCATACTCGTCACTCGTTCGTCTAGCATTCATCCAACTACGATCCATATGTCACCTCCTAAAGAATATAACTAATGTTATTATCTTCAAACTATTTTAAAAAACTAAGTTCCTAATTAAATTAAGATTTGAAAAAAATTTTGGCAGAATCTCCCTAAAAATTGGATCTCCCAAGACTTTTTAAAAAAATTTACAAGAAAAATTGACAATTTTAAACCAAATAAATGATCACATACAACAACCTGAGGCCTTATGAAGCCACTAACAGCACTCCCAGCAACAATCAATATCATTAAAAACTAAATTTAAAAAAATTAGAGGAAAGAATAAATTCAAAAAAAAATTTGACAGAGTCTCCCCTAAAAATTGGACTTCCCAAAAGTTTTAGAAAATTTTACACAAGAAAATTAACAATTTTAAACCAAATAAATGAATCACATGCAACAACCTGAGGCTTTATGAAGCCACTAACAGCACTCCAGCAACAATCAATATCATTAAAAACTAAATTTAAACATTATAAAATTTAAAAATTTATATTCAACACATACCTGGGTGGTGGCAGCTGCAGCAACGGCTCAACACTGAGAGGGAGGGAGAAGGAGTGGTGGAGGGGGGCAAGAGGGAGGGAGAGGGGCAGGGGGGCGGGAGAGTGAAGAGGTGGGCAAGGGGAGAGGGGGAGGGGGAGTGGGCGGCGGGACGAGGGGGAAGGGGAAGGCCAAGAAGGGGGAGTGGGAGGGGGACGGGCGGCGGGACGAGGGGGAGGGGATGGGCGGCCGAGGAAGGGGGAGTGGGAGGGGGAAGGGGCGGCGGGACGAGGGGGAGAGGGAGGGGTTGGGCGGACCTAGGGGGAGGGGAAGGGGGCGGCCGGGCAAACTGAGGGGGAGGGGGGGAGGGGCGGGCGGGATGAGGGGAAGGGGGAGTAGGAGGCGAGGGGAGGAGGGGGGAGCGGCAGGACGAGGGGGAGGAGGCTGGGCGGACCGAGGGGGAGGAGGAGTAGGTGGCGAGGGGAGGAAGGGGAGGGGGCTCGGCGGACAGGTGGGAAGGCTGGGCGGACGGGGGGGAGGGGGCCGGCGAGGGAGAAGACGAGGGGGAGGAAGAGTGGGCGGACGAAGGGGAGACGAGAGGGAGGGCGCGAGAAGGAGGAGACGAGGGAACTGATGAATGAAGGGAGGAAGAAAGGAATTTAAAAAATACTTTTTACACTGACACCCAGTGTAAAAAGTGTCCTTTTTACACCGGGTGCACCCACCTGGTGTAAAAACTATACTTTTTACACCGGGTGCCCCCACCCGGTGTAAAAGATAACTTTTTACACCGGGTTCCTGGGAACTCGGTGTAAAAAGTATATTTTTTACATAGGGTGGGGGCACCCGGTGTAAAAGTATAATTACAAAAATACCACCGCCTTTATTTTTTACACCATTTGCCTTCCAACCGATGTAAAAAGTACCCCATAAATTTTATATTTTGTACTAGTGAAACATGCCATAACAGAGCATCAACGTGAAGACAAAATAGTCTAGAGAACTAAAATGAGATGGCAAAACTTTAATGAACTAAAATAATCCAAAGGACCAAAATATATAACTTCAAAGAGATGATAAAAACACAAACATAAGAGATATATGCCTCACTTAATACTCACAAATATTGGAGCGTGGTCACTCTACTGAAGTTTGGAATGGTACCTACAGAGTATTGTTAGACAATATCCTAACAAACATAAATAAAACAAAGAGCCTTGATGAACAAATATGAAACTTCAGCGACAAATGCTAATAATACACATGAAATAAGCACAATTTGATTTGGCAAGATGTTTATGTCATCTTACAGGTCTGTAACATTGTGGAGGTTTGTCAGGTTCGAAGGTATAAAGCCAGTAAAAAAATTATTTTCCAAGCACTTGCAGCCATAGAAGAATGTTATTGTGAAAATGCATCGAGAATATTTTTGTCAATGAATTAGTTTGAGTAGGTGATAGTAGGGACACTTACACCATCATCAAATTTTGAGCACATCCAAGTGTTTTAGGAATGTTGCTAGTAAGTTTATTGTTATTCAAGATCTTGCCAAAAAAAAATGTTTCCTTAACTGAACAAGCTAACAAAAAGAAGATATCCTCATAAAAAATGCTGGAAAAATGGAAAACATGCTGGAAAAATGATGGAAAAAAAATTAAAAATGCTAGAAAAAAATGTAATAAATGCTGAAAAAAATAATGGAAAAGATGTAAAATTTTTTTAAAGAAAAGTACCAGTTGAGAGGCGGCAGAGAGCTAGAGGGAAAGGATAAATGTAGAGGTGGAAGCAAGCTTAGGGCAGTAAAGAGCTAGAGGTGTGTGGGTTATGAGGTAGCACGAGCTAACTGGTTGAGCTAAGAGAGTTAAAGGCAACACGAGCTGAGAGGAGGAGTTGAGAGAGATGTGGGGCGGAGCTGAGGAGGTGCTCAAAACTAAAGAGCTAAAGGCAAGAGTTGTGGGAGAGTTACAGAATGATGCATGAGAGCTAGAGGCAATTGTGATTTTGGGGAGCGGGAGCTTAACAACTGAGGTTTTACCCTTAGCTAGACTTTTGGCGACAGGTCCCCATTAAACCTGTCGCCGTAAATCATCAACGATGACAAGTTTAATAGGGACTTGTCACCAAAGGTCACTTTTTTTAAAAAAATAAAAACAAACTTTTAACAAGTGAGTTGTAAGGCATTGAGACCTGTCACCATATGTCCTTTTAAAAAAATTATTATAGTCAATTTTGATTAATAGTTATTGTAGTTAATAATTAATTAATTTCAATTATTAATTAATAATTAAAATATATTAAATTTCCTTAATTAGTTCATAACTTAATTTTACTAATTAATTTAATTTTTTAGTTAAATGTCATTTAATTAATTTTAAACTTTAATTTACAATTTTAATTAATTAAATTAATTTTCTTTATTGATAACTTAATTTTATAACTTTTTAATTTAATAATATTTAATGTCTCTAAATTCAGACACATTAAGTTAATTAAATTACTTAATTAACTAAAATTATACATTATTAAATAAAGTTTATTAATTGATTAATTAAGTTTCTTAGAAACATATAATTTAAATTAAATTAATAATTTTTATTATTAAATAAAGTAATTAGTTTCTTAGAAATGAACCTAACTGATCAACTATGGCGACAGGTTTTATGGAGACCTATTGCTGTAGGTCCATTTAAAAAAAAAATTAAAAAAGCTGGAGACAAGAGTTGTGGGAAAAGAGATATATGTCATTTTTTTTAATTATTACAGTAATTATTAATTAATAATTCTTGTAATTAATATTTAATTATTTATAATTACCCCCTCCATTAAAAATGTAAGACATTTTTAATCAAATTTCACCTCCGAATAAAGTAGTTATTTACTTTTCAACTAATTCTATGTTTCTATATTTATCTCTACTAAACACCTTACAATAAATATAAAGTCAATATCAATAGGGGTACTTTTTTAAAAAATGCAATGATTATACTTCAAAAGACTAAAAGTATCTTACATTTTTAAATATTAATTTCTCAAAAAATGTCTTACATTTTTGAATGGAGAGAATATTAATTAATAATTTAAATATATTAAATTATCCTAATTAATACAAAGTTTTAATTAATTTTCATTTAATTAGTTTCAAATTTTAAGTAATAATTTTAATTAATTAATTTAATTTAATTTATTAATAACTTAATTTTTATAACTAATTTAATTTCTTAACTCAATGATATTTAATGTCTCTAAATTCAGAAAAATTAAGTTTAATTGGATTATTTAATTAGGTAAACTTATATAATTAAATTAATTTATTAATTAACTGTGTCGGAGATATTTAATATATTAAATTAAATAAATAATTTATTTTTATTATTAAATTATAGAATTTAATTAAAAATTTTAATTAAACTCACAGAATTTAATTGAATGATTTACGGTGACAGTTATACTTATGCCAGTGGCAAAAAAATATATTTAATTTTTATCTAAAACCAAATCAAACCGAGGCCATGAATATTCCTACTAGTAGGTAATACTTGCAAGAGCAGCACTTTTTAAAGGTTAGCGCTGCGGTAGGTTCCACTTGAAAAGCGTTTTTTTTTCCCCCATGAACACTTTGATATGGGTGCTCCTAAGTTTTCCAGCACCAATGAGTGTAAAATAATGATATTTCACAAAAGAATCAGGCTTATTGCTATATCCAATTGTGTTATATGCTCCCCTCTCTCTCAATAGTAAAAACTTTCATATTTGTATATCTTTTTTTTTTTTAACTTCAACTTTCATATTTGTAGTAAAACTTCCAAAAGTAGCCAAATTCCCAGTGATTACCTCATCTGATGTAGCATGAACTTAATTATACATCATTGGAACAAGCTTCTCATCTGAACTAGATTGTGGCCGAGCTCATGCTTTATACGAAATCTAAAATAAGCTATACTCATGACTTGCTAATAGTACAACTTCCTACCTGGGCTTATCGTTAAAAAAAAAAAAAAATAGTGCCACTTTAATTTCTATATATATAATGTGTGTGTAGGGGCGCGTGTGTGTGTTTATTGGCAGAAAACTTTCTATATATTTTATTATAGATGGATATATGGATTAAGAATCGACCTAAATTCTTTCATATGTATGGAGAAGCATAACCATAATAGGGAGAGCCACAACTACTACTACATGGAGATCCACTAAAAGTTGGAGGCACAAATACTGAGGAAGACACCTTAAGCCTCTTACTCCTTGATTCCTCCTCCGGGCTGCTATTATTGATCCACCCGATCACCACTTGCTCCATTATAGCCTCCTCCCCAGCAGCCGACCCGTCGGACATGGCGGATTCCGTCATAGGTTTCTGCAACCCTACCCACCGGTGATCAGAGCTACAATGATCAGAAACACAGGAATTTTCCCAAGAACCACACGGCTCTTGATTGTTATAATTATCAGTTTCAGCAGGAGGCACTATAATACTAGGCTGCACCATAATCTCCATGTTCTTCATTGCATCAGGTGATGAAGAGATCTGGTACGGTAGGAAACTCCTCCTGGGATAAAATAGGCTAGCGAAGGTCATATGGTCACTCACCCTACTCTTGGACGACGTCGTTTGATCACTTCCTGATCTGTTCATTATACTCTGAAGATTCTTGCTCATCAGCTTAGCTTTCAACGAAGCAAAACTTAGCCCATGCTTGGGTTCGGACCCAGACTCATCGCCTGTGGCTGAGTGGCTCATCGGCAGCGACGCGAAGTTGGTTCGGGCGTTTTCGCCGCGTAGGGTTCGAGCCGCCTCGTCATAAGCCCGAGCCGCTTCCTCTGGCGTGTCGTAGGTTCCAAGCCATAGCCTCACGTGTTGAGATGAGTCTTTGATCTCAGCCACCCACCTTCCTGAAGGCCTTTGCCTCACCCCTATGAACCTTCTGATCTTTGTGGTGGTGGCTCTGTTCGATGATTGAGTTCCTGCCATAATATTGTTGGTATTGAGAGAGAAAATGTGGAAATATATGTTTGTTTTTGATTCGTTGACAGAGAGAAGAGATGAGTATAAATGATGATATCGCTGTATATATATATGTATGTATATATATATATAGGTGTTAGGGTTTGGCACGTAAGGTTGTTAATAAACTTATCTCTATTTATTTACGCATATCAGTTTGTAGTTTTCTTCGAGTTATTTTTGTAAGTGTTATAATGATAAACAGATACATACAACTTGCAAAGTCGCTGATCTTGTCATTTTGTAATCATGCGTGGGAATTTTGGTATGTGAAAACTCCACCACTAGTAAATGTACAAAATAGCAAAGGGTCTGGTCTAGACCTATAACTAGCTTTAGGTGTTTTCAATTTCAAAATCATCGCTAACCTCAACAATATTGTAAGGTAGTATTTAGATGGATAAATTTGGATTTGAATTTTAAATTTAAAATCTTATATTTTAAATTTCATATTTAAAATTTTTTTATTTAGATAGTTTAAAAAACTTGAAATGAAGAAGAGATGTGAGTTGAGATTTGAAATGAAAATAAAAAATTAAAAGTAGTAAATTTACCTTTATTTTTCAATAGATAAGAGACAAGAACGTAAAATGAGAAAAAAAAAAAAAGAGAGTCATAGATGTATCAATAAGTAACTTTGTCAACATTCTCCTTCCACTAAGAATTCCTGAGAAAAAAACAACACATTTTGCAGACTGGACGAACATCAGAGATGAAGAAGTTAGACAGATGTTTTATCTGCATACAAAAAGGACATTTTACCAAATAGTGTCCTAACAAGTCTGAAAAAGATATGTAAGGAAGAATCCTCTCTATAACCCCAACTTTTATTGGACATATGGATGATCCTCCAATAGAGTGGTTCATGTTAGATGCCAAGCCAGTTTATGTTTCTCACATCCATAGACATTTATTTCGGATTGTGTCCCAAAAATGTGTGATCCAAGTTGTGACTGTTTCAAATGATTAAGGTATAAAGAAAATTTAAAATTATAAAGAAGTTATACAAATTCAAATCTAAAATCTTTTATGTACGGCCAGATAAGGAATTTGATCCAAATCCAAACACATCATGATATTCTTTTTTTGCATTAGGAAACTAATATTTTTAGGTTGCATCTTAATATGTTGTCGGGTTCAAAACTAAGATAATAACTCTCACACATAATTTTTATTTCATTTCAAACTCAAAACCTTCGATAAGAAAGTATAAATCCTTCTTGTTAATGTGACTAGCTATACAATTTTACATGCTGTCTTTATATATTGATTAAAATTTTTCTTCAATTATGTGTACCCAATTCGATTAATATATATCAAGAAATAAAAGCCATTGACATATTAACAAAAATAAGTTGGCAGATATCTACTCCAAGTTTTGTCTGCTTTGTTAATCAATTAAAAGTTGGTAGATATTAACCGATCGAGTCAATTTTTTTTCTCTCTTGATGAGTAACATATATAAGACGGTCAAGATTTACTAAAATCCAACTTGAACCGATCTCAGCGTAAGTCGCCACAAGATCCTCCAAAAACTGGGGAAATAATTATTTACCAATGCATGCATGCCTGCGAAATTGGGATATATGTGTTTGTAATTGTTCGTACAGTTGACTTAAGACAAGTCAAACCTTAAAGATCGATGAAGTTATAGATGTAAAGGCAATTGCAAAAGGTTAATTAACTTTTTCTGGTAACTAACCTTTTGCTGGTTGTACAAACGCACATCTACAATCATCACATATTACAATCATCTTTGGTTTCAGTATTTTAGATATAACGTTCGTCCAAAAAAAAAGATTTATAAAAACGACGACCACGAATTTTAACGAGTTTCGTATTCAAATTAAAACTTTTAAGGACATTCATATATAGGCATAGGTCTATGGCTTATTTTAATTTTTACGTTCCTAGATTTTTTGAGACATTTTGTTTCAGATATATCAAACCTGACAAAAAGGAAAATCATGTTTCCATTTTCATCGATCGCAGAGAAACACAGGTTGTCAAAAATGAAATTCACTTAAAGTGGACAGAATGAATAATAATACATATGGCTTACTATATATTATTAATTTATATTAATAGTAAGTAATATTGATGCCAGTATTGATTTATCGTTGATATAGTTGAACGTTATACAAATCAATAATTGAAAATTCTGTTGGAGATACCACAAAGGTCAGTGAAGAAAGAACAAAGCATATGGAGAGAAACCGACAAAAGCAGGGGCGGTCAAAGTTTGTCGTTTTGTGAGAACGTAAAAATAACAAATAATTATCATAATTAATTTTAAAATAAATGCATGAAAGCCTAGTTTTAAACCTTTTGCATTGCAGTGACGTGTTGGAATTTAGCAGTTGTTGATAGAGAATGATTTGGGGGACCACTTCCACAAGACGCTGTCGTTTCCTTTGTCTTAATTTTCAAATAATTTAATAGTATGTATTTTATTGGATAATTATTTTGTCCTAATTTTGAGTACGTGGCCCACATGAATTGAGATTAATCACCTAAGTATATCCTTAATTAAGATGCTCAAACTTTCATTCTCAGAAGTCTATGGAAGAGAGAGATTTGTTTGCTAATTTTGAGGATTTTGCAATAATGACACATGACGCAGGGGTAGGGTTATGCGGTGTTGCCAACAACTAATAACAATGGAATGCAAAACAAACATTAACTTTATAAACAAAAAATAATAATTTTAATTAAATAAAAAAGATAATTAGTATTAAGTAATAGTAATACATGTTTAAAATAGAAATTATATATATATATATATATATAGATGTCATTTTTATGTAATAAAGAAGGATTTCCTTTATTATAGTTTAGCCAAATTTAATTCGAAAAACCATATTTTTGGTTCTTATGATTTTTTTCACTTTATTTTATTTTTAAAATTTTTTATTTATTATTCTTAGCTTTCGATAGGAGGATATTTGTACACACAAAAAAAATTGTCCATTTAGACATTTTCACTATATTCAAAAAGTAGTCATAAAAAAATTAAACAGTAGGGGCTAAATTCAAATTTTATAAATTATGAAGATTTAATTATAATGGTCAACTTATAAAGGTAAAATAAAAAATTAAATAAAATTATAATAAATAAGAATATACTTTTTATCAAGAGAATGATTAGTCTTGTTCTAATCAGTCTGTTGGATCTATTATTAGAGGGATTTTGGAAGGACTCCTATTTGTTGAAGGGGGTTCAAGACCCTTGGATCTATGCGCATTGTTAAGAGTCTTATGCCATTTAGTTAATAATATTTTATTTTTATTTTCAAACATCTTGGATCTATACGCATTGTTAAGAGTCTTATGAGATCATTTATATTCCATTTAGTTAAGAATTATATAACATATTTTTAAACATATGGAAAAAATTAGAATCGAAATTTCAAATGTAGGGATAATTATGGGTACAGTATATGGCAACATGTTCCCCCAATTGTGAGCTTATTTAAAAATGCAAAAGCATTGTCCCTTATTGAATGTAGGGTTCCACAACTAATGTTCTTAGTCGATGATGTCCACAAGCGCGTCAGCTCATAAAATTTTAAATAGAAAATTTGTTGAGAAATAATATATCAAGTTGACTACTTGATCTTTAGTTCTTTTTGAATTTAGGGCTAATTGTTTGTTTCTCACTCATTCAGATGCTCCTCTAGTTTTTCTGAATTCTGTTTTTGCAGAAAAATGTTTAATTTATAATAAAAGAGAAGTTCCCCACTATTCAAAGAGCTCCTTAATTTAAGATTCAAATATACATTTTCTACCTGTTTGGATAATAGATAAAATCGACTTTCTGAGTTAAAATCAATTTTTCAGGAAAAGTTATCTAAACAGCAATATTATTGTGTAACCAATTACCAGGCAAAAAAATTAATTTTGATATAATCTTCTAGAGGCAGCTTCTCAAGATCAAAAAATCAATTTTTTATATAAGTCTACTGTTACAATATTAATATAATTTAAAATTTTATAATTAATTAGATATATATCTTAGTCACTACTGGTGGTTTGGTCCTGGTCACCGCTAGTAGTCTAGTCTCGATCATAGCTAGTGATCTGGTCCTAATCATAATCGACGATCCATTCTCGATCGGCTTCGACGGTTCGGTCAAAGTCAGCCATGCAATCGTGGTCACAATTGACGCCTAATCCAGATCATCACAAGCAATCCAGTCCCAGTCAGCACTGATCCAATCTCAATTGGCTTCGACCCTTTGGTCCTCGTCAAAGTTGGCCCTCTTGTCCTGGTTGGTATTGGCAGTTTGGTCCTAATCACAACCGGCGGTCTGTTCTTAGTTAGCTACAGCCTTTTGTACTAGTCAATCGTTAACCTTTAGAATTTCATGTTATTTCATCACATTTTTCTTAGATTCTAATTCATTTTAGCTCAATTGTATATGTTTTTATTGCTCAAATTAGGAAAATGTGCATTTTATTTTGAATTTATATTCTTAGCTTCGATTTGATATTTTTTGGCCTAATTTTATGTTATTTTGGTTGAAGACTTGATTAGAAGCATTTTTGGAGCTTTATGGATGTTTTTGGAAGGAGTTTGGATGAAGAAATCAAGCAAAAATTGAATAATTTTCGTTAGCTACAAAAACTATGTAAAACTGCCAAAGTCCTAACTTTCGTTCACGACTTTCGTCACTGTCAAAAAAACGTTTATTAAGTTTGAAATTAGTTAGGTAGGACAAATATATTCAGAGAGCTTCACCCAGAAGTCATTCTACACACTTGAAGATACTTTGAAAGCTTTGTTATGCTAGGATTTGAGCTTTGGATGAGTTGGGTATAGGAGTTAAAGCTTTGAAGAGATTTAAAGCTCATTTCTTTGGTTCTTTTACTTCTTCTCCATTTCTCTTCTTGTAGTCTTGTAATGGCTATAAATATCTTGTGTATTTGTAGCTTTTTGATATTTATGAGTAGCTAAACTCTTTCCTCTAGGATTATTTTGAACCCTTGTATGGATTAACATTATGTTCCTCCTTTCTTTTTGTGATTAATGATATATA